GACTGGAATGTTTTTCCTTCACCACCTTAAAAATACAAACAAATTAAAAAAAAAGACATAACTGTGTCAGCTAAGTAAGCCAGTGCATGTTTGGTTTACTACAAATATATAAAGTGTACATTTCCTTCATGTGTTTGGTAGGATTTGTCTTATTATGGATGCATTGAAGTAGTTGGTGTCCAGCACCAGATTATCAAGGCAATGAATCAGTTGACAAGTCAAGAAGCAGGTCTGTATATTGAATACATTTAGAATGTTTCTGAGCAGGTATAGTAAAATAGATACAAAAAACCAGCAGAAAAATGAATAAGCTATTTGCCAGTCATGGTTGGTCTACAGATCTTAGGAGTGTAATGGTTGGTAGGTGTCTATCTCAACAGGAGTTGAGTGAAAGTGTATGGTGTCTTGTGAGGTATAAACCAGTGTATTGATTTAATTGTTTTTCTCCATGAAACAACTGACAATAATTATGGTATCAATGAAAAACAAGAAAAAAATTGCTCTTAATTGTAAATTCAATCTTCCTTTCTCCAGGTCTGACCTTTGCTGCCAAATATTACTTGACAGGCAAGCGTGAAGGTCATCTGATGTTGTACAAACTGGACCAGTTCCCTCAAGGAGCAATTTGTCCTGTATCTTTTCTTTGGAGGCAAATGAAAACAGCAGACACCACAACAATCACTGAGAATATGCAACACAGAGAAAATGATGAACTGATCAAGGAAATTGTTGATAGTGATAATGTAACAAACAACCACAGCATGGAGGCAAGTGATGAAATGCCTATGAAAGAATATACGAGTCAGTTGTGGGTCTGGTGTCATCCTGCAAGTTTCAGCTCAGTTTTTGAGGCAATAAGTGAAGCTTGTAAGTCTGTTGGAAGAACTTCAGTTGAAAAAGGAAGATGTTTTCCTGATAAAGATGACAATCCTGATCAAGAAACTCAAAGCTGTAATTTTGTGAATGGTTTTGAGCACCCAAAGTTAAGGGTTATTTCTCGTCGATATGATTTACTACGGTTACGTCTCACAGGACCAGAATCACATGCTCTGCTGACAAACACTCTAAAGTTATCTTCTGGAACATCTCAAAAACATTGTGAAAGTAAAAGCAACAAGAATTCACAAAATAATGCAACATTTATCAAAGACAAGGGTGATCATAAGAGGACTTCAAAATGGTGGGAGCAGATACTAAATAACCCAAGTGATTCAACAGCTCAAAGTTTATTATGGGAGAAATTAAGGAAGGTGTCTTCACCCTCAGTCCTTCCTTCTGGGTGTGTCATTGGTTTGACTGTTCATGATCCACGCCTTTACCTTCCTGGAAAGAAAAAAAACATCATGCAGGCTACTGAGGATAATGATTCTGGTAATGTCTTACTGTTACATGGTTTACACTAAAGCATAGGAGCGTGGAATCCACAGGTCTGAGGTTTGATTCCTCATAAGGACTCAGAATTTTTTCTTTGTCCCACGCGAAAAACATCTTTCTTTAACTCTTTAACTCCTAGATCAAATTTAAAATTCTCCTTACTTAAAATCATACAATTCTTACAATGTTTGTTCAGAGAATTTAGTATTGGATCAACTAATTATCCCCAAATTGATATTTTTCTTTATTCTCATCACTTGTACAATATCATCTGGTTGATATTGTATTGATATTGTAAGGAGAAATTCTGTCCTGGTCACTCATGGGTTAAGGGTTAAAGGATTTAGGACCTGTGAGAGGTTTTTAATTAGTTCAAAATGTTACATTTGTTTTAAGTATATTAATGCATAGAAGTGAATAGTATGCAAAGAAAATCATTGTAAATTTTTAACTAAGATTAAAATAATTTATAGCTTAATATTCTAATTCAGGAACCTATATGCACAGATCCCTTAAAATTCTCTTCAATATGTTGCATATTTTCCACAGAGTTTTTAACTGGCATTCTTCATTCACAGAAGATTCAGACTATTGTGCTGAAATAGCATCTGCACCTAGTGAGATGATGAGCAAAGTAGATAAAAGTACGAGCAAGCAGCCATCTTTTGAAGATCTCATGGCCAACTGGCCAACTGATGTTGCAGGCTCGCACATCTGGGAGGAGGCAGTTTGTCGTGAAGTGAAAGAAACAAAATTGTCTGAGCAGGATTTGAACCGAAAGAGATCTGCGCTCCTAGTTCCAGGCTCCCAGCTGGACTTGAAACCAGATGAGATTTCCCACATTCCTTTGCTTCTCATACAGCAACCAGGAAGTCCAGGTTAGGCTCTCTTTAATACATACATGTAAGTTGCCTAAGAGTGACTAGTGTCTAATTTCTCCCTAAAATCTCACTCCTGAATCAAATATGAAGGTCAGGAGAATAAAGGAAATAATCACTAAGAAAATAAACTCTTGATTCTTAAACAAATTATCTTTGTCAGTACCATAGGAAATGTATAGAGAACATTATCAATGGAGAAAATGCATCCTGATGGTAGGATGGAAAGGGTGAAAGCAATTAGTTAACAGGATTTGGCCAATATCAGGGACAAGGAAGTAGTTGTTGATTGATCACAAAAATAAAATAAAATTAGTAGAACTCTAAGAGTCAAGAGTGTCGCTAAGAATAGAAGGAAAGTTTGGGCAGTCCACTGGTGCTGGTGACTTCCTCTGTCAAGAAAAAAGAGATATGCATGATTTATATTATCACAATAAGAGCAACACTCCAAAACCCCAAACAGGATACGGATCGGCTTTGTTGGAATAGGATAGAAACGACTGCATTTGAATAAATCACTGAAACGTCCAGCTCAATTCGAACTGAGTGTTTTTTAATGTTCCATTTTAATTATTTGTGTCAACGCTGTGATTTTTACCTTCAACTTAGAACGTTAAGGTTGAAATATAGGTATAAGAACAACACGAGTACTCTAAGCTAAAATTTTCGTATTCTAATGCCTTAAATCTTTACGCAATGTCCCATCCATCTTTCAGGTGACTGTAGAGATGGTGCTGGATACGGGAGTGGCTGGGACATTATCCTTCCCTGTGGATGGGCCATGGCATTCTGGATGGCATTTGTCTACAGGGGTGCGAGAACTGGGGGCCTCCGGGAGAGTCAAACGTTAGCCCTTGAGCAAGGAGTGCCGTTCTTTCCAAATGATTTCCCTGACACTCCCTCAGGACAAGCGTACAATGAAAACCTGAAAGCGGACGGCGAGGCCCAGTACGGCCGATACCCGCCAGCGAAAAGACCTAATTACGACAAATTAGGTATCAAGTCGCCCTTTTGTCCACCTTGGAAAGAACTTGTCGAGGACTGGAGTTTGTCTGAGCCTGATTCTGGTGGTAAAGCAGTTGAATCCACAAAGACCGTTGATAGAAATATCGAAAGTAACACCATAAAAGTCGAGTCGTCTTCAAACGACGTCTCTTTTTGCAAGCCCTTTTACGTGTTGCGATCTCGCTCTAAACTGGCTGCTTTGCGGAACTTTGTTTTGCGCGGCAAAACAAAACAGACCAAAGGTAAAGGCCTCAAGGATTTTGTCACAACAACTAAAGCGCCTTTGCCGATGAATAATGATTTGTCTGCCATCGTGAAAGAAGATGCCAATTCTCTGGTATGCGTGCTTGTGCGGATGGTCGGTCGAAACGTTCCCACACCCAACTCCACCTTAGCGATTCCTTTTTCTGAGGATATTACAGGATTCACGAAATGTAAAGACACGTCCAGCCCCGTGGAACCTCTGCACAAAGGTGTGCTGGCTCGCACGTCTGGGAAGTCTTTGAGGAACTTATGCAAGAGAGAAATCGTGGGATTTGTTTCATCCGGACATTTCTCCCTCGCCCGTGGATGTGGGTTTGGGGTGGGATTTTGTGCTCTACCGGGTCTTGTAAATTTGATATCTTCTACAAGTGACAGAGGAGAAGTCATGGTGTTAGTGAGGAGTCCGACCACTCTACAATATAGATGTGCTCATTTAACGATTTTTTAGTCTAAATTCATTCGGTGTTTACGCTGGACACAGTTGTATTTAATATAAAACAAACTGAACCACTCAAAACCAACCTTTAGCTGAGTGCCATAGTGATGTTTTTAACGGCAGTCTTTACAAGCCCATCTATTTGATGGTACGTTGGAACAAGTTTTGTGTTTTGTCTTTAGTCTTTAATTCCGTTTCAGTTAAATTAAGCTCTCATAGATTTTGTTTATATCAATGTCTTAAGCTTCGGTTAGAGTCACAATGGAAGAATTGAAGACCTCTAGGTTCATGAAACATCAATAAATGTTTTCGTTTTCTTGTCATAAATGAGTGTTGAACACTAGTTTGAAAAAATGAAATGCGACTGCTCTTCGTTTTCTTACCCTCCACGGTGGATTTCAGAAGAAAATGAGAATGTTTATAAATCACAAGCACAAGGGAATCGACTTTATGAATATTTTGTTGTAATCGGATAGAGTTAATTCTCAACCTCGCAATTCTTTACTAATCAGGGCGTAGGGTGGTCGAGTTACAGACTTCCCAGTCCCCATGACAAGTCTTTTAAAAGGCACCAGAATCAGTTACATGACGTGTCAGTTGAAATAATATTTCTATTAACATTACCCTAGAAAAGCTTTTTTATTTCTTTTAAAAAATTGATGTATATTAAACTCTCCAAAGATAGACCCCAAACGGGAAGATATCGCTATACATATACAAATGAAGAACATTATATTTCAATGCAATTTTGTTTGAGCACGATGAGTCAAGAGCCAGCCCTAAAGTTTTGTATGCGAAGTGGCCTTTCGTTGTGAAATTGATAAGCTATATCAAAAGTGGTGCGCATGCTCAAGAGAAGATTAGACGTTTAGACTGACTGCTCATATGGACTTCATTCCTAAAAAAAGAACTTTACAGGGGTTCTCTCGGGATTAAGGTCCATAGGGGAAGCTCGATTTCTTAGTACGATTCTCTCTTTTAATGATAATACGCCAAAGCCGTGAGAATAATGGGTATGACTAGCTACTGGAAATATAACTCGATTTGTTTGTCGATCGCTTGATATTTCTTTCATCTCTTGCAGTAAGGAAACCCGCTATAACCGCTTTTACATTTGTCGCATGCTCGACCAATCACGTTAGGTCGGCACACACACTGTCCGCCGAATGGCTCACAGCTCGTTTTTGTAGCTCCCAGGCTGTCGCAGTTGCATGATAATGCACCGCTGTTGAATCGAGTTGTGAGGATAAATGCAGAGCGAAGGCAGAATTGCGAGGTAGATTCTTTCAAGAAAAAGCTGCGTTGTCCACAATCCTGTATAAAATCTTGCGTGATATCGATGGGTTTTATATCCAGAAGGGATGGCGAGAAGGACGAGATTGGAACCAATAACACGTAATCCTGAACAAAAAAAAAGTAAAAATCAGCCTGTTCTTAAGAAGTCGTTCATAATAGTAAGTCCGCTATACATAAGGCTTAAAGTTGTAAGCACTCTGCTTCAATTGCATGAACTAAAAATTGAAAGAGTCGCTTACGACTTTTTCTAAGGGTCATTCTACTTATTCATAAAGGGACGGGCACCTGACTCTCCCTATCACTTACTTCACCCGGACTTAATCAAAACTAGTATTATGCGGACAAAAGCCTTTGACTAAAAGTTTCGGTCCATATTAACTTCAAAACGAGCCTGTGCGTAGCGAGAACCTCTATAAAGCGGAAGCGGACAATAAGATTGAGCGCTTTAGTCGCACGAAAGCTAGACTAATGTGCATTTCATCTAATTGTCGAAAGTTATCGAGGATTGCTTTAGCTTCGTTTCACTTCGTTAAGTGAAGAGACTAAAAACTTCCGCCAATTTGTCAACCAATCAGAATCAAACCAAAACCAATCTGGACTAAGTCACACGCGTTTTCCCGCGCTATGAGCAGTTTGCTTGTTTTCACTTTGAATTCCCATTGGCTCGTTTAGATGTTTTCCTCCGCTCTGATTGGCTGTTTTAATAACTTTGGTCTTGATTTTGCAACACTCAATCAAAATGCACTCTAAGTAGCAACTAGTGAGTGGCAACTGTTCAGAGTTACATAAATTCGCTCAAAAACAATAACACTACAGACTGTGATTTTGTCGGACAAGAAAGAAGACGAGTCACATGTGACTACTTACAATCCATACACCTTTGTCCTCAGGAATAGCTATACTGACAAGTATTTCATTCTGTCGCCCAATGTAGATAGATTCACGCATACCCTCCCTGTACTGTGAGGTACCTATGGCTCTGCAGCCCGATACGTGAGGGCAGTAGCTGAACGTCAGCAGCGTGGACGCAGCGTTCTGTCCACTGACGACAACTTTTCCCAGGAAGGAGAGGAAGTTCGGCTGGTAGAAATGCACAATGACGTAATAGCGACCAGTTCGCGCTCTTCCATTGATGTGAAGAGTTTTCTAAAAGCAGAAATGAGTTCATGACGTTCAAAACAGATCATCATTTCACTGACATGACCACTTCTTTACCAAAATGTCGACAGGATCTGATCAGATCTGAACCCTCAATACCTGTGTAGCCTGCATAAATGGCAGAATTATTACCTGTCGCGTAAGATAAAGAGTGCCGCTTTGAAATTTTAAAGGAATAATAGTTTAGTTAGCGACAGAGCCGCCACAGCGAGGGCCTCTCATCCTTACTTTCTCCGAGTTTACTCTTAATGTCTTTGAAGACACGCTTCGATTCGGATTAGTAGCCAACTTGCCCTTCGGCAAAGAATCTCCCCACGGCTGCGTAAAAAAAACTTATGCATCTGGATGTGCTTCGATCTGAAAACCTTACATCATTCATCACATTTGCTTCTTTTTTCAAAATTTGTTAAGAAAGAAACAGCTCTGAATCTTTTCACTTTAACACTTGGATACTACCTTATTCCACAGTAAAGATATTATGTCGCAGTCCAGTGTAAAACCTCTTCATTATCTCTCTATTGAAAGCATTACCTCGCCCACTTTCAGGTGCTTCAGTCTCGCCCTCCTGTCCATGATGTAGTAAGGGGCTTTATCGCCACCGTTCAACCTGTCTTCAGCCTCTACCTTAACGGCATCTTTCGGAGTAAAATACGTTGACTGTACACACGAGAAACCGTTACTGATGCACTGTGTTGCTGGTAACAAGAGCTTCTGGGTCCATTTGGCGAGAGGAACAGCAGTAATGAAGTCCTAAAGGAAAACAGTCAGTCAATTATCTATATCTACGTCTCTACGAATCTTATTCTTGGCCCAGTCATTCGTTGTTCCTGAACCTAGCAGGTGGTTAGTTCGGACTCTAACAAGTGATTGGAATAAAGGAAAATTTTAATTATGGGATTAGTTGATCTAATGCCAATCGCTCTGAACTGACATCATTATAATTGCATGGCATGCAGTAAGGACCACGTCTCATTACTAATGAGATGTGGGGTGTAAAAGTGTTAACAAGGGAACACTCAAGTGATGAGATGCCCACATTTCTTAACTATTGCAAAAAGTCAAACCATTCACTGTACAGTGAAAAAATTTGTAAGGTCTGAATCATGTTTCAACGGACGAAATTTCGAGAGTGACAGGACTTGTCCTAATATTCATCACTTCCACTACTATGCCTAGCGGACTCACGTATGACGGACTGTTCGTCAAGTAAACACAGCGGAACTCCACTTTGTTTGAGAGCCACACATAGTCTCAGCAAACTCACCAAAGCGATTGTTAACGAGGTTGTCATACTGACGGTAGTTTCTTCCTTTTGACTCGCTGTGAATATAGCAACATCATGGTTCTTGTTGATAGCTACTTGTCGACAGCCAAAACGATATCTGCGCATAAATATAAAAAAAACGGAAAGAATAAACGCCCCATTTGATGTTGCACATTCTCTAACATGATCACCTCGCTCGATTTCGCTATGGCTTAGAAATACCTCAAGTTCCGATACAGAACGCTTCTCGGGTCTTGCTTGAATAGGTTATTTCTAAGAATTGGTTTCGTATCACGAAAATATCCCCGAGTTGATAAATTTCGTACCTCCCCTTCCTTGTATGCCTGAAAGTGTACTTAACTTGTAAGGAAAATCTATACTTTGACCGCTCTAACAGTCAAAGAGTCTAACTTCCAAATTGGCGCAAATGGTTCGCAGGAGGCAAGTTTCACACTCAACAATAATCAGGTCATAGAGGGCTAAGAACCTTCCTGCTTTTGAATGGAACTTGAAGTGAGATAGTTGCTCACTGGGAAAACAATGAAAAAGTGGCGAAAAGAAAGAAATCTAGAATTACATTATTGCATCTTACCTGCAGGAGAGAATGCTCATTTGCGCTCTTAAGATTTCAGAGCCAGTTTTAACAACCAGAGCTGAGACTCCTTCTTTATCAGAATCGTGGAAATAGCTGGCCAACAGGACAAACTGGCCTTGCACTTTAGACGGTAAACTGAAGGACATTTCATTCTGACGATGACAGAAAAGTCATATTTACAAATAAATCTATTGGAAAGACTCTTTCCTGTCACAGAGCCCAGAAAACCTGAGTCTGTATGCCTGAAATTTGAAACACTCAAACATTTTGGAACCATGACGGTTATGAACTCACCCTAGAGCCAGTCAGAATAAGCCCATGGAAGGGAATGTCCGTTACTCGTCGGTTTCTTCGCACGCCACCAACAACCGAACTGTCCTCTGCTTGGATAGTCACAAATCCGTCTTGTTTGAGGCTGGGGAAGGCTAAGTGAGAGCAATGGCTATTGTCTCCTCTAAGTGTACAAGGACTAAAGACGTTAACTTCGAGGTTCTTCGGTTTGTAATATTCCTCTGGTAGTAGCACCATGTAGTCCTATGAAGAAATACAGAAGTATAACGTTTGTGGACCTTGACTGACTACTTTCATTTGTGTGGTAATTTTCAGAATTTTGTCTAGTGCCTCAGTGTAATCGAGAGAGGAAGAGATGTCAATTCCTTAATATTGTTGGTGTGCCGGATGAATAAATCTTGGCTCTAAGGCACTGTTCTCTATTCTTGAGTACAGTGCCTCTCTCCTGGAAGAGCTATACTTGGATTCCAGCTCGGAAACGAGATAAGGCAGCCAACTGTTAAGTCACCTAAAGCAAGTGGCAGTGTTAAAAGTGATATATTTTTATACAATCAAATTTTGCACCACGTTGGCAGGCAATATTAAAGTCAACTTTATTCTACACTGGCGAAGGGCTTACGCTCTGCCGCCCAGCGTAGGGGCTGAATTAGGCGTCTTTGCAGAGAGTGGAGATGCAACTTAATTAGAATGAAGAACCATTTCGTGGCTAAAGGTTAAGTTTCGTCCACCTACCACGAAAAGATCAGTAGCGGAGGCCGACATCGTAAATTTCCATTTTCCCTGACTCAGCATAATTTGCTGTGGGTCTCCCCAAGTGTCTCTGACCACAAGGAAGTCAGCTGAGCGGTAGAACCAATTGGATGTTGCTCGGAATCGGACATCCAGCGTCTGCTCTGTCGCAGAGCCTGATGGAAATAGAGCTGCAATGAGACGGAATTTCTTATTTATGAACACATGAAGTGTCCCGTTTCTATTGATACCCTTCTTTGACTACTGACTTTCGATCGCTGGTGAAGGACTTATGGAGTTGCAGGGGGGGGGCGTGTTATGCAGGAAAAGAAGACCGACAAAAGTAACTAAGTTGTTCCTCTCAGGGTATGTTGTGTTTTACGAGCGAGGGATATATAACTAGATTTCAAATAGCCGTGGCTTAAGAGAAAGCTTTGGAGGAAGAGGGCAGGATGAAAAAAAAGACCTGAATGAACGAACTACGCTCTTGAATTAGTTATTTAGTTCGTTAAATAGTTCGGCCGAATTCTCATTTGCGCCATTGCTGTTTAAATTTTCTTCCACTTTCATCCTCTGTAACCCTTGCACAGGAGTTAAAAGAAATAGACAACAGCAGGTCACATTCATTCTTTTAGGAAAATTGAAATTAAATACACTTTTCAAATCAGGGCTCATGAGGGTTTCGTACGTCGCCTAATAAGACGGTCTGCGTTTGGTAATTTTCTGACCCAGCCTCAGAAATAAACAATTAATAGTTACCTGAGTTCACTGTCGGAGTAAATCTCACTAAGGCCGTCACGGTGGCGTATCGGGCCAATAAGTAATAGAATACCAGTTGGTATTTACTTGTTCGAGGAACATCAATCATCATATATATAGATGTCTATAGGAGTGATAAACGTGTTGATGCTATTAATAACATGAAGATATATCCTATTAGCTGTACAAATCGAAAGGCAACGGAGATGAGGTAATGCCTCGGCCTCATTTAGCATTATAACAGCCCAAAAACGAAAGATAATCGGAAACATTTTCAATCCCAGCTCACAAAAACAAAATTACGTTGTTACCTGAGACTGCGAGAAAACTGCGTAACCTCGCCAAGAAAATCCCGGAAATTCACTCTCGTCGTATCTGGAGTAAGCTGATCTGCCATTGTCAGTGGAGATCGCATCTTCTAACTCGACTTTATATTGATGAAGTGTGGGGTAGTAATAGTCATTAGACTTAACCCTATGAAGAAAAAGTAATGAGACGAGACTAGTTTGGAAATACGTTTACGTCGTTATACTATGCTCTGTGATTGGTTAGATACAGCACTCGCTCCAAATTCTAATCCAATCAGATGCCAAACCAAAACCAATCGCGACTTGGTCGCTTTTCACGTGCTCTGCGTAGGTTGCGGATGTTTGATATGAGTTCTCACTTGCTCTCCATTACATTTAACGTTGATCTGATTGTGATTACTTTGGTTTTCATTTTACGGCACTTAGTTGAAAAGTACCCCTATAAATCAGCATGCGTAAGGACAAGTTTGTGTTCAGCTTAACCAACCAACCCACCTGTCACACTGGTTTCCACCGATACCCGGCAAGCATGGGCACTGTCCTGTGATTTCGTTACAAGATGTGCTAAGAGAGCCACCAGCATTACATGAACAACCTGTAAAATCGTCAAAACAAATAGAGCGTGACACAATGATTCTTTAACTTAGGCGGGCAAAAAATGGTGGCAGTCAGGGACACTCCGCCTTCTCCGCTTATCGTAGAATAAAACTAATGCATGAGCCGACAAAACTGGAGCCTTGCGCCGTAGTCGGCAGGATTCGAACCTGCGCGGGGAGACCCCAATGGATTTCTAGTCCATCGCCTTAACCACTCGGCCACGACTACGTTACAGAAAAGTTATTGTGAAGGTCACTAGTTTTTCTATGACGAACTTGGAGAAAAATGTTTCGTACTTGATAGTGTTATATATCTTCATAGTCTTGGGTATACACTTCAACTGAGTATTTATAAAAACCCTTGCTCAGAAAAATAACACCACACTGCCGTTAAATGCTCAAGGAGATAAGTGTCAAGCTTGTTACAGTACTTAATAATTCCTTTGTTTAGCTTTTTGAACCTCAATTCATTAATAAATATAACCTAAATTTAACAGGAGAGCCTGTTAGTCCTTCATTAAGCGAGAGATCTTTTTTTTTTTAAATTTTGAGACACATTTACACGAAAATATGGAGAAACCAGAGTATATATGAAGCTACCAAACCAGCACTGTGGCGCAGTGGGTGAACCTATAACTCAGAGGTCCGCGAATCAAACCTTTTGTTGCACGCTTTTATCTCTTTGATTCACTAAAATTTCTTAAAACAGCTTTAGTCCGTTTTCTTTTCTCTTTTAAGAGCAAGAACTAGAAAACGAAATTATTCAAGTATGAAGTGAAAGTCTAACACTGAAAATTATTAGCAACGTATAACCCAGAGGTCCAAACATAAAAAAATTCTCTCCTAAAGTGACACTTTGGTTTGCTTGCTATTCATCTTTATCGATAACGATGTTGAAACACAACACCTCAGTACACTGCCGGAGAAAATGCAGTTCTCATTACCTCAGAAGTTCACGTTTATTTCCTTTTTGCTTCCTTGTTTCGTAGCAGAGACGACAAAACGAAATCTTCTCGACAGAAGCGCAGGTGCGTGGCTCAAAAGTAAAAGAAACCCAAGAAAGGCGGACAAATCTTGTGTTCGCCTGGCTTTTATCCATCAGCAGCAGAGTGGCGCAGTGGAAGCGTGCTGGGCCCATAACCCAGAGGTCCGAGGATCAAAACCTCGCTCTGCTAATAATTTTTTTTTTTCAAAATAGCACAGATACTTAATAGTTCTAAACTTTCCACACTTAATAGAACAGAATTATTTGGGAGGGACTCAGCTTTTTTTCCTTTTGGAAAGAGTTTTAAATATAAACGGAGCTGACTCTAAATATACAAATATTCAAAGTAAAATGGACGCAAGAAAGGCGGACAAATCTTGTGTTCGCCAGGCTTTTACCCATCAGCAGCAGAGTGGCGCAGTGGAAGCGTGCTGGGCCCATAACCCAGAGGTCCGAGGATCAAAACCTCGCTCTGCTAATAATTTTTTTCTTCAAAATAACACAGATACTTAATAGTTCTAAACTTTCCACACTTAATAGAACAGAATTATTTGGGAGGGACTCAGCTTTTTTTCCTTTTGGAAAGAGTTTTAAATATAAACGGAGCTGACTCTAAATATACGAATATTCAAAGTAAAATGGACGCAAGAAAGGCGGACAAATCTTGTGTTCGCCAGGCTTTTATACATCAGCAGCAGAGTGGCGCAGTGGAAGCGTGCTGGGCCCATAACCCAGAGGTCCGAGGATCAAAACCTCGCTCTGCTAATAACTTTTTTTCTTCAAAACAGAACAGATACTTAATAGTTCTAAACTTTCCACACTTAATAGAACAGAATTATTTGGGAGGGACTCAGCTTTTTTTCCTTTTGGAAAGAGTTTTAAATATAAACGGAGCTGACTCTAAATATACGAATATTCAAAGTAAAATGGACACAAGAAAGGCGGTCAAATCTTGTGTTCGCCTGGCATTTACCCATCAGCAGCAGAGTGGCGCAGTGGAAGCGTGCTGGGCCCATAACCCAGAGGTCCGAGGATCAAAACCTCGCTCTGCTAATAATTTTTTTCTTCAAAATAACACAGATACTTAATAGTTCTAAACTTTCCACACTTAATAGAACAGAATTATTTGGGAGGGACTCAGCTTTTTTTCCTTTTGGAAAGAGTTTTAAATATAAACGGAGCTGACTCTTAATATACGAATATTCAAAGTAAAATGGACGCAAGAAAGGCGGACAAATCTTGTGTTCGCCAGGCTTTTATCCATCAGCAGCAGAGTGGCGCAGTGGAAGCGTGCTGGGCCCATAACCCAGAGGTCCGAGGATCAAAACCTCGCTCTGCTAACGACTTTCCTTTTTGTCAAAATGGCATAGATACTTAATATTTCTAAACTTTCCATACTTAATAAAAACAGAATTAATTGGGAAGGACTCAACTTTTTCTCCTTTTGGAAAGGGTTATAAATATAAATGGACCTGACTCTAAATACACAAACATTCAAAGTGAAATGTACGTCTCTAGGACTAAACGTTTCAAAACAAAAAAAGCAAGTGGGTGAGTCAAAGCTAAACCTAATGAATGAATGACGATTCAATCTTTTTTTTCCCTATGTTTTACCTATTAGTAGCAGAGTGGCGCAGTGGAAGCGTGCTGGGCCCATAACCCAGAGGTCCGAGGATCAAAACCTCGCTCTGCTAATAATTTTTTTTTGAATAACACAGGTACTTAATAGTTCTAAACTTTCCCTACTTAATGGAACAGAATTATTTGGAAGGGACTCAACTTTTTTTTCTTTTGGAAAGGGTTATAAACACAAATGGAGCTGACTCTCAATACACAAATATTCAAAGTAAAATGGGCGTCTCTCAGACTAAACGTTTTAATACAAAAGGCGCAAATAAGTGAGTCTAAAGCTAAGCTAAAAGTAATGCGTGAATGACGATCCACTCTTTTCTTTCCAGACCTTTTACCTATCAGCAGCAGAGTGGCGCAGTGGAAGCGTGCTGGACCCATAACCCAGAGGTCCGAGGATCAAAACCTCGCTCTGCTAACGAATCTCCTCTTTGCCAAAATGGCATAGTATTTCTAAATTTCCAAAACTTAATAGAATAGAATTATTTGGAAGAAAAGCGGCTTTTTTTCCTTTTGGAAAGGGTTGTAAACATAAATGAAGCTGATTCCAAATGCACAAACGTGGACGGCCACGTTGGATTTCCTTAAGACCGAAAGTTTAGATACATTGACTGACAAATCTCTTTTCTATTTTGTTTTGTATCTGCGCTAAAGATTGCAAAACAGCTGATTGACGGCAAGGCACGAGAAACGTCCAAACGAAAACGATTTAAAAACTGCAGTAGCTCAGTAATAAGTTGTCATTCTGTGGGTAGAATTTCTCATTCTTGGTCAAACGAGACGTCATTGGGAATTTTCCAAACAGGTAACGAAGAAGAGAGTCTACTTAAATACTTTAGAAAGAAAATTACTTACGTTTACAGCCGAATGCATTTGGTCCTTCGATGCTATAATAGCCTTCTTTGCATTGGTCACATTGGCGACCAGTTACGTGACTCTTACAGAGGCACTGTCCAGTGGTCTCGTGACACGTTTTGATCAATCCCAAAGATCCATTAGTGTTGCAGCCACATGACTGACAACCCAAAGGGTTATTTATACGAAGATTAAAGTGGAACGGTTTGCAGCTGTCACACTTGTCACCCATCACGTTATCTTTGCACCTGCAGTTAGTCTAGGGAACGAAGGAGAGATTGACACTCAGTCGATTTATCCCTGGGTGTTGCAAAACCAAAACCGAATCAAATTTATCACAAAGGCCTATCAGACCAACGGTTAAAATAACAAGGAGCTATGCAATGAGAACTTAAAGTAACAACAAACAAACTGTCTGAAGCGCGGGATTGATTTAGCTTTCGAATCTGATTAGCTGTGAGGGGAACGCAAGTTTCCTTGAAAATTCAGTGCAAGAACTCCCTTCGAGTTTCTACATGTTCTCTGGGAAACGGGTTAAAAGAATTTGTATTGATATCAAGATAAAACACCCTTGATGATAAATGAGTTTATTCTCATCACCATTTTGTTTGGATAATTTATTTCTTAATTAAATCTTTAACTCTCAGCCGTGATTTACATGTACCTTCTCCTTTTTGATTACGTCTAATTTACAAGGAAATATATGACAGCTTGTCGAGAGAATTACTAATTATATCTTGGAGTTAAAGGGTTAAGGAGGTGTTATATGTTTATCACGTCTGGAGGTTCTCTAGCTAGTACTTACATTATCGACAGATCCACATCCATTCTTTTCACCAGGGAGTAATTTGATTCCAGCCGGTTCACAGCTACACTTCTTACAGCTTGGAAAATCATAATAGCCAATTCTGCACTCGTTGCATTTCTTTCCATTGAAATTTCGCCTGCACTGACATTGGCCATCTCTTGAGCGACAGAAAGTGCTTAATGAGCCACGAGTGTTGCAAGCGCAAGCTGAATGGCATAAGAGATACAGCGTTATCCTCAGAGTCGTCTGTTGTCTATATCCGGTAGCATATAGAGAACTTTCTTATGGAAAAGTCCTAAACTAGGATTATTATCGATATCCTATCGTCAATATCCTTAAATCACAGACATGTGCGTAGCAGTATACAGTAAAAGCTCTAATACCTCGCCCCTCCCTCTCTGTTTTGAGGCCTCTTTAAGCTAGTATCGCCATTGACCCGCTCTAAAAAGTTCATCACCAAAAGTTTTATACTTTCTCACCTCGCAAACCAGAAAATGAAGAGATATTTAAACAAAAAGTCCACTTTTTAACCCTTAGGATGCTTGTACCATGGTGTGGATCAACACATTTTCAACTTAGCTTATCCATCCCTCTAGCTCTGTTCATTGTCACTTTTGTAAGTTAATCATTTTCATTGAAAGAAGCATGAAAATGCAGTGCGCGGGGATGACGGGGAGCATAGAACGAACGAACGCGCTCTTTATCCTTTCGATAAAGCCTTTCAATGTTGTTGCCAGGCCCCAGTTTCCTATAAATCTCAAAAATCAACAGTCGAAAGTAAAAATATCCACTTACGCTTGCAATTTGGGAATCCATAATAAGTGGAAGATATACATCTGTCGCACTTGTATCCTCCAAATCCAGGCTTGCAGCGGCACCGTCCGTTTGTACTACAAGTAGGAGAAACTGATCCCACCACGTGGCAGCCACACCCTTGGTAAATAAAACAACAGAAGCTTTTTAACATTGGTGAAAACATGGGAAACGAGAGTGTCGAAGGGTTATAAAAATATCTTGAGTAATGCTAAAGTAGAGAGATCGTTGAGAATGTCGGTAAAAACCAATCTGCGTCTTTCTGCATCTTGCCCATTGAGGAGGACATGAAGGGCGGAAGAGGAGAAAGGAGTGGATGTAGAAAATCTTCTGCTTCCTCTACCTGTGCATGCTCTCTTTTCTAGTTTTTCTTTCTTTTTTTTAATATTGTTACTCTTAGTAAAGAAAGTAACTGTTAGTAGAAAGCAAGAAGTGAAAGACATTGGAAGATAATTATCGCTAAGCTGTGCAAAGGTTTATTGTTAAGCTGTATCTAGGCAATTTAATGCATGGTTTACTGCTTAAGTGAATGTATAATTAGTTTTGTAGTTCGATGTATAATTTATTGTAATTTGTTTCTCATTTTATTAATTTACTGTTAAGCTGTATTAAATTTATTCATCGTAAGTGGCAAATGGTAAGTAATTTGTTCCAGGCAACTTTGATGAAAAACGAATGTTCCACTTACGTCTACAGCGTGGGAATCCAGCGTGACCAAGCTTACATCTGTCACACTTCCTACCCACCACATTGGTCCGGCACAAGCACTGCCCACCAAACTCCTCACAGACCGAGGACCTTGAGCCCAAAACGTTGCACGTGCATCGTAAAGGACCTCCTATGAAACGCATCGTCAAAGAGAACACATCCTGCCGACACTGTCGACCGCGAACTGGGTTTATATGGAAATGGTCTTTACCACAACTTTGCAAAAATTCAGTAACTTTGTCGCTAGACTGTAGCTCAAGAAGGCTTGTGGAGTAGACGTTTTGAGGCACGAGAAGTAGATACGACTAGAAAAGAAAATCATAGAATTAACAGCGATTGTATTCTGATGAAGACTTAAACTGTTTATTGACGCTTATACAGTAACAGTGGACTTTCTCGAGTCTCTAAACTTAGAACAAGCTATTTCGCACTACAAAAAGAAATTGAACACCCACAAAAAGACTCAGTCAACTATTGACACTACCTAAGCCGGCTGAATTTTGTTATCTAGTTACGTAAAAATCATACTGCTTTGTCACTCTATTTGAAATTGTACGAATAAGTTTACTCTGCCTACCAGTTGAGTTCGCCTCTCGTGTTGTATCTTGGCAGTGAAAATCCCTCGGTTGAACACGAAATTTAAGGCTTCCTCTTCCCCGACGACGACACGGCAGCCGGGATCGGCAGGACAGTAGTGGAACGTTACGGGAATATTCGGCTTTTGGTGGCTAGTAATCGATAGTTCTTCA